GGGGGAGTATATTGAGATGGTGAGTGAGGATGGTCTTTTGGGGAGATGGGGTAGCAGCTAATTAATGTGTGGTGTAGGATCTTGGACTCGGTGTGCTGGAGGGGCGAGATCCGGATGCGGAGGAGGAGGAGAGTGGGAGTGATGAGGAGGGGGAGGGGATGGATATATTGGGCAAGCTGATGGGACAGGAGAGGGCGAAGGAGGGGGGTGGGATACAGGTTGTTGATGAGGCGTAGGAGAGTGGGAATGCTTTTTGCCAGGTTTGGCTGATGTGTACGATTTCATGGAGACAAAAGCTGTTATGCTCAAGGCGTGTAGACATAGTATTTCACACGTTCAAGATCCTTCTGGAGGGGTAATTTCCATAACGTATCGTCAATTTTAGCCACGTGTGGCCCATACCTCCTTCTCTCATTCGAAAAAGCCCCCTTCATATCACACGATCACTCCAATTCACTTCTTCCACATCACATCCGCCTCCCCACTGATCTCCGGCTCCTCAATCCCCTCCCTAATCTCCCTCTTCCTCTTCCAATCCTCCCCAAACCGCTCATCCCTCTCGCCCACCAACTTCTCGAACCCGCCCCCCTTCACTTGCTCCATCTGTCCCTCGGCCGTATAGCTCCCCATCAACTGCGGCGGGCCCAACGGCACTTTGTCCCCCCGGTCCGTCTGCCAGAGGTGGTAAACCTTGCCGTACAAATGCACAACCTGAAATAGTATTCAGCAACCAGTATCTCACGGTACGAAGACTCAGGAAGGTGGGAAAAGGAGAACAGGGTTCCAAACTTCCTCCATCTCAGCCGTCTCGGCGGTCTCCCACGCGACTTGAGGTACTAGCGGTGGTTTGGGCATGATGAGCATGCCGGATTTGACTTCGAAGACGTGGGAGTGCCACAACTTCTTTTCTTCTGCGTCTAGGGTCGCGAAGAGGCGGGGGGAGATCATGTACTCGATCCCAATCAACCGCGCGTTCTTCTCCGGCGAGTCATACAAAATGCACTGCCGCACGTCCTCGTTGAGGTGGGCGCAGTAGTGGTTTGTTTCGACGCAACGAGACGGGTCGGCGACGTAGGCGTGGAAGGCGTTGAGGTGGGCGCAGATAGATGACACAGGCGCAAAGTTCTGGGTTGCTGCGGCGCCGGTTTCGAGGACGTGGGATTTGGTTGTTAGGGGCGAGCCGGCGGCGGCGTTGGTGGTGGGGAGGTCGGAAGACATTGTGATGAGAGATGGGTTGGATAGTGGTGTTGTTGAACGGTAACACGAATGCTGTGAGGGATGATAAAATGCTGCGTTGACGATGTTGTGTAAATATCACGAAGATGTTACTAGAGCGTCATTGACGTCACCATGATGCAGGATGAGTTGAAAAGAGGAAAGTCGACAAGGTTGTTGGAGCACCTTGTGCGACTTCTGCAGGAACAGTGCGGGTGGGAGGCGTTGAACCGTTGATGAGAAAGATGAGGGTCAGGGGGTGTGAGCTACCGCTATATTGTAGTGTAAGTAGACGTCCGCTCTTGACTGACTGACGGACTCAAGAGTTGATCCGAGTATTGAGATAATTTGGATGGTGATTTGATTCGTAAGTATATGCAGCCGTGCCCCAGAGATCAGATCATCATACATTCGTCGATTCTAAAAAGACTAGAGTAGTCCTGAGATATCATCCACAAAAGGGAGAGAGCGACGAAAGATGAGACGGAAGAACGGACATCAGACAATACACAATAGAAATTAGAGAGCGACATAATTTCGGATCGTTCAACACGCTCCAAAAAGGAATAAAACGCCCCGCTCAGTCGCTCGCTCCAAGAACAGGAACGTGAAACGTTTTCATAGACATAATTCCCCAAAAACGCCGTTGTATGAATTCCGTATCCAGATCTAAAGCGCCCAAAACACCTAAATTGATGAGATAAGAGATATTCGTGAACATGTCCGTACCGCTGGAACATTATGGCTGGGCTGGATTCAGTGCTCCATAACTTTCCAGCCTTCCTTCAGCAAGCTCTTCGCGAAGAATGCAGCGCCAAGGAGGACTCCGAGACCGCTCAGGCCTATGGCGGTGTAGTATGCTAGCCGGATGCCATGCTCGACGTTCGCAGGGTCTTTGTTGCCGTACACTTCGACGGTGCCTGCGATACCGAGGGCGACGGAGATCGAGTAGTTGACGACGGTGTTGACGAGAGACATGGCCAAGCCTTGGTGCTCGCGAGGCATATGGTTCGAGAGGATAATTGAGGCCGCTGGGAAGGACATATCCATTCCGAATGGCATGACGATGATGCTGACGAACATCTGCGCCCAGTATGTCTGCTGGGCGGGTTGGGTGCCTGCGATGACAATGCCGATGCAAAAGGCTACCATAGAGGTCATCATCACGAAGCTGACGGGTGTGTGCGTCATGAGGAATCCAGTCATTCCGGAGGCGATCAGACCGCTGATCATGCATGGAGCGTATTGTGCGGATATGGAAAGGGGCGTGGCGTGGCGAACGAGGGTGAGAAATCGCCAGCTGTAGAAGACCCAGACACCAAAGGCACCCCAGCCCACGCCAACGCAGGCGAGGACGAAGCCAACAGTGCTATTCAACGCATGCATGGGGAGGAGCGGGTTGACGGCTCGCTTTTCAACCCATCCAAAAGCCCCTAGGCATAAAAGGCCAATGATGAGGATAAAGTAGACGTGTGGTTTGTTCCAGCCGTAGAGAGGAGCGTTGTTAAAGGCGATATTGACGAGGACCAGACCACACACACCAACAATGGATCCACTCCAATCAAAACCAGGGCTCTTGGCTGGTCGGTCAGAAAGAGCGTTGGGAATGATGAACATGCTGAGAACGCCAAGTGCGAAGCAGGTAATACCAAAGCTCCAGAACGCCCATGGCCACCATGCAACTTGCCCGAAGAAGCTACCGGAGGTAGCACCGATAACAAAGCCAGCTGGAGCAGCCGCACCGAAAAAGCTGAAGACGATGTTCTTGCGGATTCCTGGGGAGTATGCGCGGCCGAAGAGCGCGAGGGCATTCGGCATGAGAAGCGCGGGACCGATTCCTTGCATAGCACGGCAGACGTCGAAAAAGATCTGGTGTTTCGGGTAGGCGCTGAAACCAGCGAAACAGCTCCATACACCGAACCATGCATATCCAAAAGCAAAGACACGCTTGTGTCCGAGGATATCTCCTAGCCGTCCGGAAATCATGATAAAGGTGCCAACAGTCAAACTGTAACCGGCAATGAACCAGGACTGTTCTCCGGCATTTGTGGTGCCAAAGTCTTTTGCAATGATGTCGAGAGGGGCAAGTGCCAGGCCCAAAGACGCCTGGGTCATGAGATGGGACACTGCGCAAATGGCGACGAAGAAAATCTCCCGCGTTAGACTCATATTAATGAGTTTCGCCGGTGGTGGGCTAGTAGGACCGACTGGCGATTGTGGTACCGCCATTGGCTCTGGGTCGTAGTCATATTGGTCGAAGTGTCCAGTGTATCTTGGGTTGAGGATGTAGCTGGTGGATTTGTGGTGCCTGGAACTATAGGCGGCGGGGAGGCTTTGTCGTGAATCCTGGAAGTCGTACATGCTCTCTGCGGCGATGGAGTCCACTCTGGATTGCAACGATATGTGTCGAGACTTGTACATGGAGCTCTTCTTCATGGAGTCGGTGTCCACAGGGGTCCAATCCTCGCTCTCGCGGGGTGTGGGTTGGTATGCACCATTATTCATGATGAAGAAAAGAAAGACTAGTAAGTGGAACGGAAAGCGGGAACAGCTATCAGAATTAGGCTGGTGGGTGATCGGAAGAGCAGGTCTGGAGAAGAAGTATTCACGAAGAACGGGAGCGATGTTAGTATGCAGGAGGACAGGGAATTAAGAGGGTCGTGAATCAACTGGGCAGTGCGACGGCGATCCTCTTTCTATCTACCATGGCCGAGGAAACCTGCATGGCCTCCGAGGGCCGCCTGGAAGGTCACAGCTTGTTGGTGCGCCGTGGTGTCGAGTCGGTTGTGCAAGCATGAAGACACTAAGCCTGCCGGAGCGCTTTGGGGAGCCGGACGACCATGTCAACAGCCGTATTCGGTGCTGGGATGTGGCATGCGAGGCACCGTTGCAGACGCTGATTAGACGGCCAACACAGCTCGATGCAGATGCGGGAAGGCTGGTCCAACTGGAGCAGCCACGGGCCATCGCCTGGCGTCACGGCGCCGGCAGCCATGAGGGCGGGATCAGGCAGATCCGGGGAGAAGAAACAGCAATCGTTTCCTGGGAAAGCAAATAGCGGAGGACAGACGTTGATATCGATACGTTGCCGTGGACCCCGCGTGGTGCGCATCGCGGAGCGCGATGTGGTGGAGAGCGAGACCGGACGGGAGAAGCGTGGTGTTGAGGCTGTCCGTGAAGCAGGATCGAGACAGGCTGACCCGGTGCCATCAGCCACGATGCCGGCGTCGCCTGTCGGCATCGCAGCCAGCCACCTGCAGACTGTGCGCTTAAAAAAGCACGGGCGAGCCAGAGGGCCGACGGTGCATGCCTCGGGCGTGTTCCGCTGCACTCTGGACCACGGACAGCTGACGATGCCTTTTCATCGTCATGGTGCGCCTGCAGCCCGCTGCTACCCACGCCAGCACCAACTCTATCTGATCCACAAGAGCCAAGCCTCGTACTCCTCCGCGTTCTTCTGTACGTCTGCCGCCATTCCTGCTGCCGCCCTTCCTGCGCCAATGTTTGCCAATTCTTCTTGGCTCCGCCGTCAGACCTTCCTCCGACCTGCGACATCCGCTCCTCTGCCTGCAAGACAGGAGGCGCATCGATCGGGAGCAAGCCGCCTGCTGTCATACGGCCGCCCTTCCGCTCAGATCGGACCTGTAGAATACGCACAGCCGCAAAAGTCGGGGTATCCCACTTTTTCCTGTGGGCCAGATGAGGTCAAGCAAAGAACGCTACCGACTTCTCCGACTTCTCCATCATTAGTACTCTCCTCATCTATCCCTCACACGCTACAGCCGCTACAGCAACTCCCACCTCTGAGGTGCCGAATGCGACTAGCAGCACAAACTAATGCCTCATCTACACAGCATGAAACAATCCTCCGCTCAACGACACCATTGTAGCACTATTAAGAGCGGTGTATGCCAGCCACCAGTCGTGCATATCAGCAGCTCTCAATTCATTCGATATGCATTAATCTTCACCGCAAACACACGTAGGTACCGTGTAACTACTTGTCCCTCTCGTCAGCTCAAAACCACGCCTCAAACGCCTTCTGGCGTTCGTTCGGATCCCCAAATTCACGCCCACGAGTCCGGCTAGTCGAACTCGGGACGTTTCATGTCACCAGGCCTACCACCATGGCCGATCAGGCTTGCCGTAAGCCACAGCCAAGCCCACTAGTGCGCAGCATCTTACTACGAACGGTGCGGCGCCTTAAAGAAATAGAATTGTTGTTGATGCCCTTTGAGGCCCTCCAGTAAGGCCCTCCGGTAAGGCCCTCCACTGCGAGTCCTATACCTCGTCGATTGTGTTTGGTACCTGCCTTAGTGCACCATGTTCCTATCCTGGATAGTTAGTCTATTTATACATTTCTACCATGTAATTTCCGGCATTACTGAGAGCGTTATACATCACACCCGAATATCGGAAACTTTCTACTTTTCTTCATGAAGAGGCTTACGGAACCTCCGGGATCATACATTAGGATCAAAGTGCCACAAGTCTGAGTCTCTTTCGGCTCATAGCCAATCCATTCGACATCTTGAAAACTGTTGTTCGTCGATATATCAATCCGAAACCATCAACGAACGCTGTCCTCGAGACATTTGCAACGTGCTGACTATACTCCGTAGTGACGATCGACAACTTGCTATTCCGAGGAAAAGGAAGGACGAACAGACAAGCACAACAATTTATTTAGTCCAGTTTCACGTTGCTATCTTTCTCAGAAGCTCCAATTTCAGAAGCCGAACCATGTCTACCCACTAGCATTATTCGAGTGCATGAGCTTCAGCGAGTATTATGGGTGGGAGACGTATTCTAGTCTATCTGCTCCCTTTACTGGCTCCCTCACCACCCGTTTCCTTCATTTCGACATGGGGAGCACATCCATTTGGCAATCTACTTGAACCCTCCGAAAAGCTCGTATACGCAGTAGATGATTCAAATGAAATGAAAGGCTCCGCTCTTCAAAGGAAACGAGGTCGTTTTAGTACCCTGCGTATGCCTAGGAACAAGTTGCACACTAAAGACTCACAAAACCCATTGTGGTCTCAGGGACTGCGTCGCTAGTCATTTGCTCCCCATCCCGCAGCTTGCGGTGAATTAAGGGTTCAAACTTTAACAGGCCCATTTCAAACTTTTGCCGACGTATTCTTAAACTTTTGCAGACACGTTTTCTGCTTTCAAAGTTTTGCCGACGCATTTTCAAACTTTTGCAGACACACTTTCAAACTTTTGCAGCCATGTTTCCCATTTTGTATTCACTTTAAAACCTTGAATTCTTGTCCAAAATTCTGGCATAGATAGGAAATTAGGAACACGGGGTTCTCACCTTACAATCTACGCCCAAGCGTTGACATGTCTCAGACTCGATTTTCCAATGAGAACTTCACATGGTTTCAATAATAAATACGTTGGGATCACGTGCTTTGTCCCCTTTTGTTTCTAGAACAAGCTTAATTGGACTGCCGTACGCATCAAGTACTGACTGGATTGCACTGATCAATGCTAGCATCACGCGCACACTCCCTAGGTTGCTAGAGCGAAGAAGCCAGTAAACTGTATATGTCACGACCTGGAGAGATGAGTGTCGGAACTGTTTGAACGTCCGAAGCGGCCTTGACAGTCAGAAGTCTCTTCACCAGCCTACAGTTTCGCAGGCCGGTTGCTCGGAAATCAATATTATTTATTCGCCACAAGAACACTATAGCTACACTCCAGCCTCTCTACAGTCTATAGCAAATCCAAGATTTCACCGGCTGCGGTAAACCCAATAGCACGCTCCCACCGGCACCCCAATAACGGCCAAAGCAACCAGAGCGTTGCTGAGTATATTCCTCATCCCTCTCTCCACTATCTCCACGAACACCTGCTTATTCTTCTCCTTCTCATTCTCATGCGGAAACGGCACATCCTTCATTTCTCAAAGTCAGCGCTCATCCGCCCCCAACCCAGTCTTTCTTCAGAGCATCAGAGCACCACACAACCACCTAACACCACGCCTGCTCAGAAGGGACAAATCAACCTGCGAAATTCACCGGCCCGCCCTTCCCCAAAAAAGCACACAGCGGCCCTCCCCCCCCCCCACAAACCACCCCTCCGGGCCCCAGCCAAGCACCGGGTCGTGCGCGCGTTTCTCCGCGAACGCCTCCCAGCTGCGCATCCAGCTCTCGAGCTCGCGCTCCACGAACACAACCTTAGCGTCCCGGGTACAGGGAGACGAGTTCCGCGGCGAAGAGGTTGCAGGGCGCGTCGGTGACAGCGCCGACGTAGCCGGGCACGCCGTCGAAGAAGGCGCGGGAGAGAGCGGGATCGAGGCCGTTGTATTTGGCGGCCAGCGCGGCGGTCCACAGGTCGCTGTTGCGTGCGTTGGCGAGGGGGGAGTTGAAGTGGTAGGGGGAGGGGTGGGCGGCGTGCATGGAGAGGGTGCCGGTGCGGGAGTAGCCGAGGCTGAGGACGGAGAGAGGGACGGGGGGGGGGGGATGATGGGTCTCAGTTTTCCCCGGGAGCGGATCAGATTTCGGTTTGGATTTCGGATTTCTCCGTGCAGAGGATAGCTTTGATAGATGATCGAGGCCGAATCAAAGAGGTTTTGGAACACGACCAATGGAGGTGTTGATAGGCGACCTACGTCGTGTTTGAACGCCCATTCCGGTGGCACTGGGGGAAAACTGATACCAAAGAATTCTGGTATATGTACTAGGACATAACGTACCTATGCGGGCGAAGTCTTCAGGAGTTCCCATTTTAGGAGTAGGATTAGGAGGGGAGATAGAATTAGACGAGAGGGATATGATGGGTGAAGATGGAGTGAGAGCGGGGAGGAAGGAGAGCGCTTTAATAGTGTTCACAAGTTGTAATGAGGTACCCAACCACAGCTATATAGCTGTCAGCGCTATCCACAAGCGTAGAAGCTACGGCAGTAGGTGTCTGACATGGACCAACAGAAAGAGAGTTTTGTGAGCCAATCACGAACGCAGGGTCAGGGACCCAATCGCGGACCGGGGCTTGATCTGTATATAGCTTGTTTTGATAGATGATTAGGAGAAGCTTAAGCCTTGCTTCTTTTCTAGAGGAATAGACATGCTCGCGCCTAGAATGGATTTGCGGACTTTCTCAGCGATCATCAGCAAGAAGCATCGCTTAAATGCCTAATGCGGTAACGTACGAGCAGAGCTCGTTTATCGGTGTTTAGCAAAGGCTTGATATCATCGTATCCATAACGACAACGAAATAGAAAGGTTGGGAGAGAGATAGGAGGGATACTCGACAAAAGTTCATTGTGATTGACTCAGGTTGAAATTGATGTGAACTCTGATTTCTATAGACGTCTAGCTAGTTGTATATATACTAGGGGAAGGAAGGGGGCCACCCCCAGGGTGGCGCGCTAGTAAGTTCAGATGAGCCCTGCACAGCTGAGGCTTCAGCTCGGTTCTCTACAGCTGAGATTTCAGCTGGGTTCTCTACAGCTGATGTTCGGAGAGTAGCTTTCTGGCATATGAGTTGTTGATCCTAGGTTGTAGTGCTGCAACCTGAGTGATTGCATGCGGGAAATGTTGGCGAGGCGGCCTTTCGATATTCTAGATGCGATCGTGAGAGGAATTACTATGTTGCATGCAAGAGACACTTCCCCGAACTTAGTAACTAGGATTGGCATGAAATGGATTTGAGAGACAATAGACAGTACTTCCTAGGTTGTCGATGGTCGCTGGGCAAGCTAATCAAGATGGCTTGAAGGAATAGCGATTAACGCTTGTCGACATAGCCGATTCAGCCAATAGATGAATGGAGACCGGGTAGTATTGACTGTCTGGGACCTGAGCGAACGGTTTGTGATGTACCTGGGGGGGGGAGAAAAGACATGAAGATAGGATGTAAAGTATGTAAGAGTCTGAAATAGACTCTCGCATAACTGAAACCAATGCTATTTCCACGAACCTCAAATCGTGAGGATGGTATCTGTCGTTTAGGGCGTTGCTAAAGGCTGTGTGGCACCCCTGGGATATATCGAGTGTTTGACTGTAGAATGTAAAAGTTTCTAGACTGTAAATCGGACCACTTAGGTATAACGTCCCTAAATCCAGTGCGATTCTTGCATGACGGGAATTGGGAGGATGGTAAGATGCTTTTAGAGCCTTCGTAGGTGCTTTCAGACACCCCTTGTATTTAACATCTCTGAAATTAATTGGACATACTCCATCCGTTAGGCTGACATACTACGTGACCGTCCGACATTCTTACTGGTTCAACGATTAATTCACCGTCCTATTTTTGGACAAGCAGCCGGCCCAACCTAATCGCCTGAAGTTCTATGTCAACAGTACAAACACCACAATGAGTTTACCTCACCCATAAGAATCTTTGCACTTCAACGTAGAGTCCATAGGTTGGTAATAAAAGGGCGTGCGGATTGCCAAGCCAGTGGAATAAGTGCGTTGCCGTACTTTCCACCCCATGCGTTGATAGCGCCCTCCTTAACCAGCAGCTCTACCACCTCTTTATGGCCTCCATTTGCAGCCGCCTGAAGTGCGTTACCGTGCTCTCCGCCCTGCGCGTTAATATCCGCGCCCTTGCTAAGTAGTACCTCTACTATCTCTTTATGGCCTTTAGCTGCAGCCGCCCAGAGTGCGTTGCCGTCGAATCCGCACTGCGCGTTAACATCCGCGCCCTTGCTAAGCAGTAGCTCTACTATCTCCTTATAACCTCTACCTGCAGCCTCCTGGAGGGCGTTGCCGTATGTTCCACCCTGCGCGTTGACATCCGCGCCCTTATTAAGCAGTAGCTCCACCATCTCTTTGTTATGTGCTGCAGCCGCGCAGAGTACGTTGCCGTATCTGCCACCCTGCGCGTTGACATCCGCGCCCTTATTAAGCAGTAGCTCTACCATCTCTTTGTTATGGTTATGCGCTGCAGCCGCGCAGATTGCGTTGTTATAGAATCCACCCTTTGCGTTAACATCCGCGCCCTTGTTAACTAGCAGCTCTCCTATCTCTTTATGACCGTTAGCTGCGGCCGCCTGGAGTGCGTTGCCGTAGAATCCACCCTTTGCGTTAACGTCCGCGCCCTTGTTAACTAACAGCTTCACTATCTCTTTATCGCCGCTAGCTGCAGCCCACTGGAGTGCGTTGCTTCTTCCACCCTGCGCGTTGAAATTCGCGCCTTTGTTAACCAGCAGCTGGGCAATTCTATTATGGCCGTACTTCGCTGCGAGTAGCAAGGCAGATCGACCCCAACTGTCTTCAGCATCAACTACATTCGTATACGCATCCTCTAACGAAGGCAAGAGCTTTTGCGTTATTCGAAATAATCCATATCGCGCTGCATAGTGCAAAGCGGTTCCTTCATGAATGTCTTCGGAGGAGGCTCTTCTTCGAACCTCCAGCACCTGTGTGGCACACGAAAGTGAGCCATTATGGAGAAGAACCGAACAGGCTAGGCTAGCCACTTCAGCTTCGACTGATCTTGCATGTTTAACCCAGTGCGTGGCTGCGTAGTCCAGAAACTTATTTTGCCGGAGCCTCTCCTCAAATTTCTCGTGAGTGGAACAGCTACCGCTTCTGAAAGCACTGAAGGAGAGGTACGTAAGGCATGTAGTAGCCATGTACAACTGAGCACCTGGAATCCATGCATCTTTGATCTGCTCCAAGTATTCTTGTGTAGTGTGGTGCACAAGACGGATGACAGCACCCTCCTGATCAACAACGACAAGGCCGGCGCATACGGATACCAGGTCTTCGACTTCAAGCACGTTTTCCGGGTCGAGCTCCTCTTCACCTGGCTCCACTGCCAAGGCACAGCATATCTCAGCAGTGGTGAGCGGCCGTTTCGCAAGCGTTATCCACGACAGGACTTTCTTGGCTAGTTCGTGATCACCGTCCAGCTGGCCTCTGATTCTTTGGAGGGCGTCTCTATACGCGTCGTCGAGCGCGGCTGGGGCTTTTGAGAGTTTAGCTAGAGTTGACTTTACGTCTTTTGCCGTCCTCTTGTCTAACAGCGAATCTGTATGTAGGCGAGCGAGAAGAAACCTGAGGACGCGTAAGTCTGCATCACTTTACGTGTTGAGGGAAAAGCGTACATGCCGTCGACCGACTCCACTATCTTTTCTTGCACCATCTCCTGCAGCGCAAGGTCGCGCTGAATGCATCTAGGCAGTCGGTATATCTGACCGGCCACAAAGCGCTTCACATCCTCTTTACTAGCCTGCACCTCCAGCTCCAGCGCATCTCTAAACGCATCTACGATGTCCGGTATGAAACGCGAGGTTGCCATTAGACGAATATCTCGTCCCGCCTGTAGATCTCGGAGCTTGGCCAGAAACTGGTGGCGAGCGCCGTTACTGTCTCGACACTCATCCAGAGCATCAATTACAATATAGACAGTAGAGTAATTTGCAAGCACACCTTGGAGTGCGCTAGAGATCTCCTCATCAAGCGATGGCTCTTCGTTAGCATGCTTCCGGTGCAATTTTTCCACAGGCTCTAGATCTATGAGCGATGGCCGGGCCTGCAATAGCTGCTTGAGGATGGCTGCCAGCATACTGGAAACATCCTGCTCATCCTGAGCTTTGTAGTTGCAGTACACGTAAGCAACTCCATGCGAGCTATTCTGCACTAATCTCAATAGGTAATCGATCGCGATGGCCGCTACCATGGTCTTGCCGGCTCCTGGGATTCCTGGGCAGAAGAGGGTTCCCTTGGCTGTACTGAGCCATCTTGTGACCTCGGGCGCGTCCAGAAACCATTGGCCTGTTCCTTCCTGTCTGCGCTTTATGATGTCGGACTGTTGCACGGGATAATCTGAAGGCGATATCCATTCTAGAAGCCTGCGGTGCCTCGTGTAGTTCTGATCTAGCTGGATCTTGTCTATTCCAGATTGAATAGCAGGTACGTGTGTCCGAACGAAGTTGGTATCGTCTTTGATGGCTTGAGAGAGTTTGCTTATACGTATAAGCGAGGTTGCTATACAGTGCTAGTACAGAAGCTTACAAGTGGTCCATCTGTAACGCGATCTCTACTAGTGTCTTCAAACGCTCCATTCGATCTAATATGCTCGCGACCTCCTCTTTCTTGAACTTCCACACTAGCGCCTCGCGGGCCTTCTTCAGTCGGCCTCCATCTGTCATCTTAATTTGCAGCGTTTCCAGCGCTTGTTTGAATTGGTCGAGCGGCCCATTCTCGACTGCAAGGGCTCGGACGGCGGTGTACCATAGCTTCTGAGAGTCTCCCTCCTCAACCCGAACCCTGAGATTGAAAAGCAGGCTGTAGAGATTCGAGGTCTCGATAGCGCACTGTGCGCGGTCTTTCGGCGCATCCTTGACGTGGTTCAAATCCGCGAGGACTTTGGCCGAGAGCTGGAGAACCGCGATGATGCTGGCCACGACACTCAGCGGATCCATAACGAGAGACGGCCGACATAGATAATAAACGCGGATGGAGGAGTAGAGGGGCCAGAGGACAGCGGCATGATGTAGGTAGAGGATCTGAAGGGAGAGCGACTAGGCTGAGGGTACGACCGCAGCAAGGCTGCATAGTAGGCAAGATGGAGAGCGGCGAAGGCGCACGCCACATGGGCATATCTATCAAATGAGACGTCCCCTTACTAGAGCGAGCCCTAACGTCATGACTTTGCTTATGCAACTTGCATGAGATTTTCTAGGATTAAAAGGGGGTACATGCAGGTCTTCGGACAGCATACGACAAATATAGATATACCTAGGTCGTAATATGTAGGTATTTTGAGTTTCGATACACAGGCACAAAGGCACACGGGGCATGGAAAAGGTGGCACACTCATCAAGTAGAATACTCTGCCCGTGTGTCCACCTGCCTGCCACTACATGAAGTGCTTCATCAAGTTTCCATATAGCCCAAGGCGAAGAGCTTCTATCTTCTTTAGAGTTTTGAAAATACATTGAAGCAACCCCAGCAGTGGTAGGCAGGTGTACACACGGGCAGAGTACTTGATGAGTATGCCACCTTTTTCATGCCCTGCGTGAAAGGTACCTACGCCCCAGAGCCCTACCCTGCTAGTGCTTAGTCGCCCCTTGCTCGTCACCTACAGCTAGACCGTTTAGAAGCTGAGTCCAAATGAAGAAAGTACAGGGATATTCAGAATAGATGATGAACTGTGACGCTGACATCACGCGCTTGACACCTTACTAAACATTTTGAGCAACCTCTAGCCTATGTAGAGGAAAAGAGCATAGTATCTACAAAAGTAAAGAACAGGACAGTGAGAATCGGACTACCATTCCAGACGTTCACTAACCTTTATTCGTGACTCCAATTCCACGTGTCTGGCACCTTGGTGAGTAGTTTGGGACACCCCAGAAGGATAAAGAGGGAGCGAAAGTACGATGTAATTAATGGGGCGTCGTGAATTAGGCCAGGAGCATTTGATATAGCTAAGATTAGCTCGTTTTCCAATCTCCATGAAATGGGACCCTCGTATCAGACGCCTGACACCACGGTTATCGCCCCGTGGTGCCTGGCCTATGGAAAGGTAACGACACCACGATGTCATGCATCTCTCAAATCGGTCTGAATCTTTTTCCGTAGCTTCAATCAATTCATTCCTCACTGTCCATAAATCATAACCCTTATATCAGACGCCTGACACCATGCTAAATCCTTCGCAGTACCCCCGACCCATCCCGATTCAAATACCCCCAATGTAAAGAACTCCAGCCCCCAAATCAGCTTATGGCTCACCCAAAGACCCCCGCCCTCTTCATCACCCCCTCAAACTCCTCCAGGCCCACCCCACCCAGACCCTCCGCCGCTACATTCCCATTCGCCTCTCTGATCATATCCCGCAGCACCTCATCGTCTACCTCCTCTCTCAAATCTCTCGCCACCCGCCGTAGATGCGCCAAGGTGATGGGGCCGGAGGTATTGTGCGTGAAGAGCGCGTAGGCTTCGTTGATCTCGCGCTGGGAAGTCGTAGAAGGAGCGGTGCCGGCTTTTTGTTTTCCCTTTCCTTTCCGGGAGATGGGCTCTGGAGACGCGGAGGGCGAGCCGGAGACAGACTCGCGGTCATGGATGCAGATGGCGGCGTAGGAGAGGAAGGGGATGAAGGGGACCAGGCCGGTGGTGAGGGGGTCGAGGGTTTCGAGGATTTCTTTGACGTCTTGTTTGGCGGGTGGGAGGGAGAGAGCGCTGGATTGGGTGGGCGTGTTAGTATGGTTCTCGTGTTCTCATTTCTTCTCTTGTATGCACGTGAAAGGGAGACGCAGACGTGAATGCAGATGGGGAAGTTCATACATCAGACAACGCCGCACGTCCTCGGCGCGCAACACGCCCTCCTTTGCATCCTTATAGTCTGGATGGTGTATTGCGAAGATTGAGAAGGCTTCACGGATCTCGGCTTCCTGCGCTGCGGTAATACCATGCTCGCGCGCGAGCTTGGAGGGGCGGGCGGGTTGCGGAGTGGGGTTTGGTGGTGGGGCGAAGGCGGCCTTCCGTTTGGGCGGCTAAGTCGGTTATTAGTCTGCCTTCTGTAGTAGAATTCTGGGAGGGGTGTTTTACCATCACGAGGAGCCTTGGGACAGGAAAGATTGTGGATATGCGACGGTTTGCGACGATGATGCTTTGCACTTGATATTGCCAAGACCAAGTGCCGGATAAAGCTAGCGCGGAAGGCCCGAGCGGCACCCGCACAAAATGAGTCCGCTGCCAGCCATCTCCCACTCTCCTACACCAACCTTTCCGTCGACCTCGCTCGACCACCACATCGCCACATCATCGGCCTCCGTCCGTGGAGTGTCTTGTTCCCTTCGTCGACCTTCTCTCCCGTCGGCTCCCTACCTCGTGCCATCATGGCCCCTCGTTCATCGCCTTCCTCAGACGCGTCCGTCCGCTCTTCTTGGGGATCGGGGATTGTGTCAAATGGCATGGTCACCCTTTCCTCCTGCAATACAGGATCGGTTCAGGTGAATTGGTCACGAAAGAAATACCATGTCGGTTCTTCCAGATCGCTCCAAGTGGAGTGGTCGAATATAGTGGTCCCTCGGACGTCTCGTCGTTTCGTGGACCTTTGAGTAGGCGGTATCGCCCGACACCAGGCCGAGCCTCGATGTTAAATCCTGAGACACGGTTTGACGCTCGCGCCTGGAGGAAGAAGCCAATAGATAGCAGTCACCGACTTGCAACAGGCCTTCGGGTCCCTGGCATGTTTTACTCGAGGCACCCATGGAGCTTCGGTTCGTACCCCACCACCTAAAATATATAATACTACCTCGTTTGTAGCGGCGTTTTTGCTAGGCAAACTTGGTAGCTATCACTGTTTCGTCGCACCGTCGTCGGTCGGTGGACCTCTGCAGTAGGCGGTTACGCCCGACACCAGGGGAGGGCCACTAGTGGCTCAAACCCGGAGTAAGAAGCCAACAGAGAGCAGTCTTCGGACTTGCAACAGGCCTCCGGGTCCCTGGCATGTGTTACGCAGAGGCACCCACCGGACTGAACAGACCGCCCGATTCAAGTCGAAGTATCCTACCTGCAGACGATCCTCGGACGACTCCAGACGAGGCCCAGGCCGTTTTTGGCTAATGAAGCACTCGACAAAAGAGTCGGTCCAGAGCTACATCGTATCATCAAGCAAGGCACGGAAAAGATTTCACTCAAAAGACCTCTACGCTCCAAGAAGATTTCGCGAACATTGCGGATGACTTGAACAGCAGTTTCATCATCGCCACCGGCGAACGCACAGACGTCCGAACAGACTCAAAGCTGAGGCAGAGTACCGAATACCATAGTCACTCAGGCTCTCCCAGACAAAGTGGAAAGCTTCACAAGGCGTCACCGCAGATTCAGTTCGCGACAGGCACGAACCTACCAGGCCAGTACAGCCGGCGACAACGAACGCAGTTGGCCGAAGACAGACTATCTGGTGCAGACACGAGCAAAATGTCAAAATTGTCACTCAAACGTCACCACGCCAAAGAAGCCATTCTTCAAAACGGTGCCATTGCGATGGCCGCTCGCGACAGGCATGAAACCATTGGTTCTCACCGTCGGCGACACACGCAGTTTGGCCGAAGATGGGTAGCTGGTCGACAGAGTACAGAGTTAGGACCCCCGCGTCCAAAGATGTCCGAGCATGACGACAGGTTTCCCAGATTTTCCGGTGCTTCCAGTCGATGCCAGGCAGCAATGTCCATGGCGACGGTCGAAACGGCCTCTGATAGCCAGGCGCTGCTCAAAGATGTTCCAATCGAGCCCCCGCGCTCAACCAATTTCAAAGTTCTTCGAGGTCACGCCCTCAAGTTCAGAGATCAATTCGCCCAAGTTCAGAGGCAGCAAGCTCAAGTTCAGAGGCTATTTAGTCCAAGCTCGGAGGCAGCACGCCCACGTTCAAAGGCATCGAGTCCTGCAGGCACTCAAAATCTTCAAGCTATCACGCTCAAATTTCAGGCCATGAGCCCAATTCCTTGTGCCATATCACTTGGACAAATTACGAGCAAATGCTCCAAATACCTTGTGCACGTCACTCGGCTACTCAAGTTCTCTCTACAGAGGCTTCACCGAGGTCATACCTCACCAACGTTCTCTGTTTTGAGACGTCACCGAGGCTAGGCCTCAGCAAGCCTGCAGACGTCCCATTCCTGTAGCATCGAACAGCGAGAAGTTTCACCGGTTTCCGGAGGCTCGGCCCAAAGTTGACGCCATTCGTGGTTGTAGCTGGAGAGGCTTCGCCCAAGTCACCATCGACTCTCTTCGCGACCAAAGCCGCAGCCTTGCTGCTGGCTCTCAGTTGTCAACATCACAGGGTCTACCTGGCGGAGGTCTACCTTCGCATCATCGACATTCTGATTCCGGGCTCTAAGGGTTGTTTTCGTGGGTTTCTAGGGGAATGCGTGTTGACGCACTCCGGTGCGCTCAACTCTCAGTTGCCAACATTACGGAGCTCCGGCTCTGGCTAAAGTCCACTTTGGCATCATCGGCAATCTGATACGTGGGTTCTGGGGGATCTCTTTCGACGCACTTCGGTGTTGTCTCGTGGGCTCTGAGGGATATTTTCGACTCACTTCGGTGTTGTCTTGTGAACTTCTGGGGGAAATCTTATCCGCTTCCTATCAAGCTAGAGCATGCCGTCTCCACTCCCAGGACGAGCAAGTGTATACAGTGAAGCGAGAGTAAAACCACACCGTGCCACCTTTACCTCAATTTAGGTCGCGGTGCCTTTGTTGTTCAGCTGCTCTTCTCGCACGTCGGGTTGGGCGTTGAGCGATGGAGGGTACATATTTGCATATTGCATCCTTTTTTTCATTCATGCTTCTGGCCTGGTTGCTGGACATGGAAGAAGAACTCAAATCAGTTGCGGAAACCCTCACACCAACCCACGTCCTTCTGCGAATCATCTTCTCAAATCACATCCCCATCCTCATCTACTCCTCGAACGACCCAGCCCGAGCCGCCGCTACTACTAGAGCATTCTTCACCTCAATCCAATCCCAAAACTGATTGATTCCCTCTCCCTCCCCATCACAATGTCCGCCCATCCCATAACCATACTGGGCACCGGCATCGCAGGCTTAACGCTCTCCCAATGCCTGCTCAAACGCGGCATCCCTTTCCACCTCTACGACCGTTCCCCAACCCCAGCCCGAAACAACTACGCTATTACGTTATACGCGTCTACGTATCGGGCATTATGTAAAGAGCTAGGAATCTCAGAGCGCGTCTTCCTCGAGCGGGTCGGAGTAGCTAGCTCTCTTACGCCAAGCCAAGACGGCGACGCTTCGAGAAAGGAGATGCGAGTCCACCGCGGCCGCCTCGAAGCCCTCCTCCGCAAACCCCTAGCCATCCAAACCAACCACCAACTCTCCCACATCTCCCTCACCCCATCCACCGCCTCGCAACCCGCTTCGAAACACCTCCACTTCACAAACGCCCCCCGAGATCCACACACCCGGCCTCGTCATCGCCGCAGACGGCGTGCACTCCGCCGCCCGCGCTGCCCTCCTCCCCGCTATAGCGCCACAGATCCTGCCCTACGTCGCCTTCAACGGCCGCCGCGAACTCTCCAACGAGGTGTTCGAGGAGCTCTACGCGGCCGCCTTCGCATCCTCCCCCATCCCCTTAGCCATCGCGCACAAAATTGGCGACGCTCTGTTGAGTATCGCCCTAGTCGCGCAAACAGCCAACACCACGACGCTCAGCTGGACCTACTCGCGCCCCGCCCCGCCCGCAGACCCGTGCTTCAACCCCACCCGTCCCGTGTCCAGCGCAACGCAGATCCCGGAGGCGTCGTACGCCGAGCTCGCGCAGCTCCAGGCCCTCCCGCAGCCGTTTCGGGATGTCTTCGACGGGGAGAAGGTGAGGGGGGAGCGGGTGCTCCACTGGCTGATGCGCGCGCTCCTCGTGCCGTCGGAGGAGTTGACGAAGCTGGCAGGGAAGGGGGTGGTATTGGTCGGGGATGCGGGGCACGCGGAGGCGATTTTGGGGGGCGAGGGGGCGAATGGGGCGGTGGGGGATGCTGTGGGGTTGGCGGGGTGGATTGAGGAGAATGGGGTGGAGGGGGTGGAACGGTGGTGTGGGGAGCGGTATGGAGCGTGGGAAGAGGGGGTTGGGAGGAGTAGAGACAGGATTACAGCGATGCATGGGGAGGCGGAGGGGAAGGCGGTGTTGTAGCGCGGTCCGTTGTTGAGAGGATGGGTTGACAGAGAGAAGCTGTGAAAGCACGCGAGTGGCCAGGGAGATAGATGGGTTTCGTGGAAAAGCAATGCGATTGATGATATGATACATCTTTATAATGCACATGACCCATGAGACACAAATGTTCCTGATGGAAAGAGATGATGCGAAGAATAACGCAATAGAAGCTCTACAAGGCAGGGGAGAAGAAGAGAAAAAGAAACTTAAACGCCGATCCAATGCATTATTCATCGTCGCTCGTCGCTCTCCGTTTAATTTCAGACATCTACTGCGTGACATCCTTGATCCTGCACTGCCATCCTGACTCCTTATTAAGTAATGGCAAGCTGAAGAGATTGTTAGTAATTGCAGTATCACTTGGCAGAGAAAGGAGAGAACATACCTAGCACCCAAACACCATCCTAACTCGTTCCCCTTGATCTTCTTCGCGATCTTAACTTCACGTTCAATCGGCATCTCATACCCAGTATGCAGCAGCGCAAGCATGAAATTCAGATCCAAACAATGATCCGCTCGGCCCCTCAACTCATCCAAGGCACCCTCGATGCTGTGGAAGACGTCCCAGGCCTCCTCGCCGTGGCAGACGCGGTGAGTAAGGTCTTTGAGCTCGGCTAGCGTGAAAGACTCTGGCATACCGAGAGGCTGCGTGCGGTCGTAGAAGTAGGAGAAGAGGAAAACGTCTTCGCGAGCGAACGTCTTCTCGAGCGAGGGCTGATGGACGCCGCGGAAGGCGCATGGGGCAAGCTTGCAATCAGCGTCTTTCTCGAGGGTCTTCTCGGCGAGGGCGCGGCATTGGGCTGGCGAGCCGTCTGTTGGGCCGGTCATGTTGACAGTGACGGACTCGCCGAGAGGGTGGGCAGCGCCTAGACTAACGGTGACCTCCTTGGACATACCGGGAGCGATGCAGGGGTTGAGGACAGGCTTGGATAACCAGGTGGAGGCGTCAGTCGATTTGTTTTCCTCGTAGGTGGCGTTGATGACGACGTTGTGGAGGTTGTTGCGGGCTTCCATCAGACCGTAGCCTAGGTAGGAGTGTTGGTAAAGCTCGAACTTGCGGCCGCCGAAGCTGAGTTCGTACTTGTGGTCACCGTCGGCCAGCTTCTCGGGCATACCGCCAGTCTTGCTATCCCTAAAGGTAGGCTCGAAAACGATCTGAGTGGATCCACCACCAAGATCAAGGACAGCTGCGGTCGGGGACTTGTCCGGGCCACCAATCTTCCCTAGGAGGTAATTGGCTGTGATCCAGGCGTAGACACCTTCGTCTTTGCCTTCCATAACCTCCACGCCTCCATTCTCGTCAGAAACAACGGGGAAGGGGTACTTAGTCTCCAAGCGGTGTCTAACAGCTTTCAGGATGTTGTCACTTTTTTCAGGGCCAAGTTTGCGAAGGCCGGCAGTCGCCTTGACGGCAACTGGGGTGCACTTCTTGATTTTGTCGGGGACGTGCTTCACAGCAACGTCCATCAGGACATCCAAACTGGCCGCGGCCTCTTCAGCCTTCTCGCCGTATGAGCTCAAGCCAGAGCCGCCCTCCTTCTTCGCGGTCATCTCGAATACCTCATCTTCCAACTCGGGAGTTGAGCCGCAATTGTTAAAACGGTATACGTGGATGCGTGAGCCAGTGCTGCCAGCGTCGATCATGAGGGCGTACTGGATGAGGGGCTTGTGGGAGTCGAAGGACTTCTTGCACTTTGTCGTTGCCAATGTAGGGTCTGACGCGGTATCTCCACCGGGGAAAGGGCCTGTATCTAGGGGTTGTCAGAACATGGATGGAAGTCAGGGGCTTTGGGAGCGAGTTAGGACATACCACTGCCATGTCTAGGCGCGAGATAGAAGAAAATAAGGAGGATGAAGGCGAGAATGCCGCCCGCCTTCAGATATCGTGTCCGCTGCCCCTGATTCATCCCCGCAGCCTTGATATCGTTCATGAAGCCTGATCCTGACGGGCCGTGTCCTGAGTGACGGTCGGCCTTCTCAAAGGGATCCTGGGCGTTGTTGTTGCGCGGTAGCGAGACGGAGGTGCGGCGGCGAGGGCTCGAGGAGAAGCTCAGGTAAGACCAGATTCCTGGACGTCGTCGGACGTCAACACCGCTGGACATATGTATACCGGAGTTCGGGGCGTGCGCTCACAGATTGCAACGCGACCTTAGCGAGCGATGGACCTGGGGTTGTTGAGATTAGTTGCGAGTCGTGGAGGACAGGTGGAATGTTATGAGGTTGACAGAACACAAGAGGTACACGGAAAGGGTACTCACGCAGAATCAATCAATCGTAGGGGGATGTCAGAAGGATTCAGGGACTTTTGGCGGTGAATTGCCCCCTCAACCCCTTTGTAGAGTGTTCTTTTCTTGGGCTGACCGTAGCCTCAAAGGGAAAGGTGCCCGCAGAGCCTCACTGCCACGTGATCGTCAACCCCTTCCTTGCCACCTTCATACCTCTACCTCACACCTTCATACCTCTACATCACACCTTCACTACTTGTCAAGCGCCGCGTCACATCAAGCGTTCACATCATCAAGTTTCGGGAATTCTTTCTTTCAATGTTTCTATTCCACTCTATGTGAACATGCAAGAGGGTCTACCATTCTACCTCGACGTAGTCCGTCTCCTCCCGCGCCTGTTCGAGAGCATTTCCTCCTCCACCCAGGACCTTATTCCTGAGTTGTCGAGTAGAATGGAAGCTCAGAAAATTAGCTTGCTCTTCATTCAGCTCTATCTCCCATGCTTCCAATCTCATATCTGCGGCCTGGTTTGAGCTGTACACAACTCTCGTGCCATATTCGTACACTCCCTTGTTATTCTGGTTGATCTTCCTTAGTTTCGACACTCTCAAACATTGAAGTGCCGGTAATGAAGCTCTGTTGTCCATCCACTCCGATAACTTGTGAAGGGAAGCCGGTCCGCCGAGGGTAAGCGACTTCAGGGACGGAATCTGTGCGCCTTCGAGCATGCTGTAAAGGTCGGTATCGGACTCAATTTCGAGTGACAGGGACTCTAGATTCCGGGTATTGCGCAAGAAACCACGAATCCAGGCCTTTTCTTGGGCAGGCTCGCGCAGGCGACGCTGCATCAACCGTAGTCATACCGTGAAAAGCGTTGAATCGAATCTCAAGGCGAGTGATATGGAGAGGGGATCCGACCAATGCTCCTAGCATGCTGCTCTGGCTCGGTGAGAATCGCCCATGGTAGCTAGGCAACTTCCCCCGGTTATTGGGCCATTTATACAGACTGAAGCATTCTAGCCGCATTGTCATATGGGGTCTTCCTAGTGCTGTGATGGCTAGCTCAAAGCCCAGGTCAAGGAGTGAATCAGGTGGCCCGGCCCAATAGTATAGTTCTGGAGGGACAGTGCTGTGGAGGTGACGCCAGAACGGGTTCCTGCACGGCGGAGAGTACTGCTTCATGTTGTAGGAGAAGCCCACACCCTCAGTAACTATGAGCACGACCGTCTCCAAGTTTGTCAGATTTCGAAAGACATCACGATAGGCGAGATTTCCTCGTCTAAAGTCGGTATTGTTCTCGACAATGTTTTCGTGAATATCAAATCCTTTCTGCGTGGTCTCCATGAACTCGGCGTCTTGGGGTATATCGACCGGACCTGCGGCTCTGATTCTTCTCCGGTTCGTAGCCTCAAAGAACCGGTAACGTTCCTCTGCGCTATACTCATTGTAGCTCTTACGATTCCTGTCGCGGGCATGGAACCCAGGACCAAGAATCTGCAAGGAGTCCCTAGGAGTTTTCAGACGGTCCCCGTGCACAACAACGGTTCGTACCCTTTTGCTGTACTCTGAGTTATTAGCAAGTGCCACAAACCTGTCCCAGCTTTTGGAATACAATCCGAAGTGCACTTCTCGAAACACGTAACGCTCTCCTGCTTCCCGCAAGCGCCGGCTCGTCGCCCTCAAAGAGTCCACGGCCAACCCATCACAGTATTCGAACAGCTCCTGTAGGAGCTCATTTAGAAGACTCAAGATCAGAGGCTTGTTATTCTAGCAAGATTACATTTTAGATCATCTTCCTCTTAAAATACTAGGCGTTCACAACTAACTTCGTTTCTAGCTTCGTCTGGCGGTCTCGGTCTACTTCCATCGTCGTCCATCGTTCGTGCACCTCAATTCTAGGAGATTTGCAGATCAACGGTTAAATATTCAACCTCAGCTTGCGACCAACGCAAAATGCAGAAGTACAATGGAGGAAATGAGGGTCCCTCTACTTTTCTCCGGGCATGTGCATTCCTTATACTACATTCCCTTTATTGCCAAACTGATTTCATCTATAGACTTATTAGCAATCGCTACCACAATCATCATCATTCTCGCATGGTCTAAACCGCAAGCTACGGCACTAGAATATAAGTTTGTGCACTCACCTTTGCTCCAGGTTTCGAGTCCTCTTCCCATTTTCCGATAACATATTGAAGTACCCCGAACAGCGGCGAGGTAGGTGGATCATAAGCGTCTGGATCGACTCAAATTCGCACTCTCTACACTTTCACATATCATCCAGAGTATCAATATCGCACCAAAGCACCTCAGACAGTGGTGAGCAGGCGTGCACAGACTTCTGTCCGGACACTGTACAACACCAAACATCTGCACAATCTTAAAGCATATCCGAGAAGGCAAATCTACCACTCTGCCTGTACGCAATCCTCCGCGAACCTCTCTCGACATGGTCATTCCCATCTTTCGTTTTACGCCCTCGAATGAAGTTAAGCCTAAAAAAGACTCTCAAACTTCTCATTGAGCTCAAACTGTATCCCAGTACTACGAAATGGCGGTAAAGCAGAATCATTGCAAGGCTCCTGCTCATATGAAAGCTCAAGGCTAGTGATGCTTGTAACGGCCGTTGCAAGCTCCGACTGTTCGTGGAAAGCACCCGAATTTACGCGCCATGCATCCCCGTCACTTTCGTACCAGAAAGCGACTACGCTATGTGCACGCCGCGTGCCCTCTGCGTCTATCAAAAATGTTTCCACGCGGTTAGATCTGTAAAGTTTGGCAACAAAAGAGCGTAGAAGCGACGCAGAAGTACCTCATCATGTTTCCCTTATGCATCTGACAGCAGTTTGATTCATAGTCTTCTGCTTCCACGTGCAAAGCGGACTACGCGGAGGATACACAGCGCGGCCTTCTCGTGGCTTCGTTATGCACGCCGCGTCTATGAGGTTTCAAGCTACGCGGTTAGATCTGTGAAAACTTGCAACTAAAGAGGGCAGAAGCGTCGCAGAGGTATTGAAGCACCAATTCGCTATCCTATTTCCAGCGGGCTAATTTGCGCTCTCTCCTCACTTCCTCAATAATGACTGGGCCATGGCACGCCGCGTGCACGCAGCGTCTATCAAAATTCGGTCTACTCGGTTCGATATGTGACTTTTAGTGACCGATTGGCTCAAATCTTTCACGGAGGTGCCTCTACGGTTTTGCATCATCATATTCCCATCTGCCTAATTTACAGCTGTCCTCCTGGGGACTAAGAATGACTACCCTATGGCCACGCAACGTGCCCTCCGCGTCTATCAAAACTGGCCCTACTCGGTTCATTATGTAACTTTCAGTAACTAACCGACGCAAACCGTTCATGGAGGTGCCTCAGCTGATCTCCACTATCCTATTTCCGTCCGCCTGATTTACACTTCTCTCTCTAGAAGTTAAGAACGACTGTGATCTGGCCACGCGACGTGCCCTCCGCGTCTATCAACATTCCTTCCATGTCGTTCAATATGTGACTTTAAGCGACTGAGTCACGCAGATTCGCACCGGAGATGCCTCAGCCAGGTTCCAAACATCCTTTAGACGGCGACCTAATCTACATTTGCAACTTCTGTGGTCTAAAAAAGACCGAGTTGCGACTACGCAGCGCATACTCTGCGTCTATCAAAGTTTGTTCTACGCAGTTCGATTTGTAACTTTAAGTGATGAAAGCAGCCGAAAGTTCGGTGGAGGTGCTTCAGCAGCCTCTCAGGAATCCAAAATTCGGCAGCCTGATTCACGGTCTCTCTCTGAACGGTCCTGCCAGCACGGTCAGATTCAGAGCGGATATTATTGAAATTAGCTTTTCCTACTCATTCCACGCTATTAGGAGGACTTGGACATGGGTAAGAGATATCCGCCACGTGCATCCTACTAGGCTCTCTAAAATCACCAATCTACCATTCTAGCACCACGTAGTCCTTTTCCTCTTGCCACGATGGTCCCGTCGAGGAGTTAGCTGACTCCTGACCTTTCTCCCTAGGGTACCAAAGAGCATACAGAAGTATCAGATCCTCGAATTTCTCGTAGCAGGCCATTTTCATCGCTTCTATCTTCATAGTTTTGGCTTGCTTTCTGCCGTACACAACTTTGGTAACATTTTCCCAACCTAACCTCATCAATCCGTCGGTTTTCAAGTCGCGCTCTTTCAGTTTCACAACGTTGAGTTTTTGAAGAAGAGGCACACTACTCCTAATCCACATCGACAGCTCAGCCATTGAAGCTTTTCCAGCGAGCGTAAGCGACTGGAGAAACGGGAGCGTTACACCTTGAAAAACTGCATGCAACCCGACGTTTGACGCAATCTCGATCGACAAGGAACGCAGGTTTCCGGGTTGCTTCAAGAACTCGTTAAGACGGAGCTCCTCTACGTTGCCGGGATTGCGCCACATGGGAAGCCAATCGCCGCAGATTGACGATTCGGGAAAGGCCATGAACCTGACGTCGAAGCGGGTGATGCGAGCAAACGCGGGTGCCAATGCGTTCAGTCTTTGCAGGTTGAGACACCATAGCCCCCGTTCGTGGGCGTCCGACCAGTTCTGTGCCCAAGAACGCAAACTGCGGCACTCAATCCGCAACCGTTTAGGGTACCAATTTAGGAGCATAAAACCATGCACAAGCTCCAGAACCTGGTGCAGACCTCTCGGAGGCCAGGACCAGAAATAGAGCTTCGCAGGGACCGCATCGTAGAGGTCCCGCCAGAAGGGATGCCGACACTTTGGAGCATAGTTGAGCCAGTGGGCAATCTCTGCCTCGCCTTCGGTGACCATCACGATGACCTCTTCTAGGTTTTTCAGCTGGGCGATGGCCCGAAAAACACGCCAGTTGTGATCGGTGTAGCTCGGCGCACCCCAACCCTCCCGGTACTGGTGCTCTCTGCCCCGATCGATCTCCTGCCGCAGATCAAAGCCCCTAAGCTGGGCTGCCGTGAATACGATGTCTCGGACCTCTTCAAACTCGGCCTTGGCGTACGGATCGAGGGCACGCTCGAGCTCTCCTTTCACGTACCGCATTTTGAGAAAGTGGTCGACGTCCTCGTAATCAAGACAGAACATGTCCTTCACATCCTGGAGCGGACGAAGGACATCCGCATGCAAGACCACTCTCTTTATCTTCTTACTACGTACTGGATGATTCGTGATGCGGAGGAACTTGTTGACGCTGCGTTCGTGCCACGCGAAGTGCACCTCATCGAATCGATAGCGCTCTCCAATAGCGCGGAGGTGCTTGCATGTTGCTCGGAGGGCTTCGACGGAGAAGGCGTCGCAGTGCGAGAAGATTTTCTCTTGGAGTTCGGTAGCGAGGGAGGGGATGTTTGGGCCGTGAGGCTAGTGCAGTTATATGTTAGGTCAGACATATCAGGTCACCTTCCATCGTTTCTTTGCATTCTTTAGACAATAGCTTACCTCTTCATCAGCCTCGCTCCGCTCCTCCCGCCGGTTTCCTTGCTCGCCCATAGTCTACAATACTATTCCCGTCTATGCGCCGTCCCTTTTGGGAAGTTCAGCAGCTTCAGTTCGGATTACGAGTTCCAGCTGATGGAGAGCCTTTCACATTTATACTGCGCAGTGTCTCTGTGAACAAGCTGATTTCATAGCTAGAAGCTACCCGAACCCCCTACTCACACTGCGCACAAGCATCAAATTCGCTTGCTGCCAAAACTCCTCGCTCCAAGCTATCCGCAGTCCGCTCTCAGCACTCACTCGCTCTTTCTGCTCTCCACTGTTCACCTCCATCCGTTTTGTAATTCTTCCGTTAACCCCAAATCTGACACGTTGGAATACTGTCGGGTGGCTCCTAGCAGTGTCACGTTACCATCATACCCAAGGTCCAATTTGAATACCCGCAAACGTGACAATCGATTCAGCAACACATCATAAGCCCAAGGGGGCGGGGGGCACCCACCCATCCGCCAAAACCCTAGCGCATACGACCACGAAGTCGAGCGCTCTTGACTAAGCTAACTCCGCCGCATTCCCCCCTTCTCTACTCCTCCCCCTATGGCTGACATCTTTGAAATGACATCGAGCCTCAGCCCAACAGCTTGATCCATACATACAAAGGCATCAAACTCCAGTTCACACGCCTCAGCTTTCACTCCCTCCCATCTGCTTCCCTCCCCACCCCGCTTTCGTTACCCGTCCTCTCCACATCTTCTGATCTTCGCACGCGACTCCAGCAAGCCCCGCGCACTGTACCGTCTCCGAGTATATCAGGCTAGGCAAAGGCGCAACCCTTCCACTCCGTATCCAGAAGTGCATCATCGTAACGCTGTCGGCACACTTGCTTAACCAGCGCTAGAGCTGCCGTTGGCGGCACACCTAAAAGCCGTAATAGCGTGCGTAAAGAAAGGTTCCAAGCGCTTAAAATGAGAGAAGCCGCTACATACAAGCTTAATAGTCCGCCTTACTTGCCGCTGTTCGCCGGTGGTTTGAGTTGCTTCGTAAGAAAAAAACAAAAAAAAGCCAAAAAAAAACAGGATAAGGACAAGCGGACAGCGTGCCTAGAATTTGTGTCTTAGTTACCGTACGTACGTACGTACCCACGGATCTACCCACGACGACGACATGGCAGAGAAAGAATCAATCCCGGATCTGAAACACCAAGGTCTCCACCTCACCCCACTTCACTTCATCCAAGCCGGCTGCGCGTTTCTTCCCAAAGCTTCCCCTGGCCCCCCCCCCCCAAGCGAAGTATCAAAACGTCACGCCACGAGTCCTCCACAGCATAGATAAGAAACAGGGGCTGGATATCACCGCTACCAAAAAAAAAACGCCTCTACCATGCGGCCCCCCCCCCCCCCCCCCCCTGATCCTTACCCCTCGAATGCAAACATGAATCATTACACAAAACTCATACAAGTCATCCCCACCCTTACTCCCCCCTCACCCTCCCAAACGCGCCCCTAAGCGCCTCCTCCACATCCGCGCCCCTGCCCCGCTCCCCATCCGCCAGCCCGGGCCGCATCGCCAACAACGCGGCCACCTCGCCCTCCCGCCTCTCCTCCTCCTCCCGCGTGTTAACCTTCCTCAGCACATCCTCCCCGTTCCCCACGTCTTTCTCCCCCATCCACGCCAGGCTCCACGGCATCTCCCCCCTACTCGCCTCCTCAAACCTCCTCCTGACCCCCTCATCCTTCTCCAGCTCCTTGAACACATCGACATCCTGCGTGAAGAACGTCGCTCTCAAACTCTCCACCCCGAGCTCAAACACGACCACACACGCCAGTATCAAGACGAGCGTCAGCCACCAGAGCGCGTTCGCGCCAAACGTGTGCAGGAAGGCCTGGCGGACGTGGTAGATGGGCGCGTGGGGGTTGTAGAGCACCGCGAGGAGCAGGTTCCACAGCCACCAGCCGCCGATGGAGGCGACGAGGGGAATCAGGATGAGGAGCGTGCGGGTGTGGGTTTCGATGAGTCTGGCGATTTGAGGAGGACGTTAGTTTATCATTTTGCCCCGATTTCTTGTTTTATTTGGAACGGGATTGGAGATGGGGGCGCAAAGGGGGGGAAAAAAAAAGGGGGGGGAAGGACTTACTGCATCTTAACGCTAATAACAATAACCACCGCGCTGAAGCACAGGTCGCCGAGCGCGAAAAGCCCTTGGTCGCTCGTGAACACCGCCTGGCCATACACGCCCAGCATGACGAAATACACAACCATAGCCTCGCTCGCCGCCATGAACATCCACCCCGCGTAGATGGTGAAGTTGAACGCGCCATTCCGCTGGCCCTTGGTGTACAGCTCCGGCACCGCCAGCAGCGTCGCCGCCGCGAGGTCTTTTTCAAAGATGCCCAGAAAAATCACCGGCAGGCTCGTGAAGAGCGTGTTGAACATGCTCAAGCTCCAATTCTCATAGAGGGACGTGCCCGTGTACCCGGCCCAGCGCTGATACAGCGCCTGCGTGAGGAAGAAGAGCATTTCCTTCCAGAAGGTGCCGACGGTGTACTTGCACGTGCGGATGTAGTTCCAGCGGCCGTGGACGAGGAGCAGCTTCGTGAGGAAGCGGAACTGGGCGATAGAGTAGTCCGAAGTGCGCGCGGCTTGCAGCCCTTCTTTGCCCGTGATGCCGATGCCGACGTGGGCCTCCTGGATCATGGCGATGTCGTTGGCGCCGTCACCGATGGCGAGGGTGATGGATTTGCGCACGCGCTTGCGGATGCCCTTGACCAGGCCCGCTTTCTGCGAGGGGGAGGCACGGCAGCAGATGACCGAGTCGGCGAGCACGGCGAGGTCGAAGAAGAGGGCGGTCAGGTGCTTGTCTTCGTAGATGGTGGCGAGGGTTTGGCCGTCGACGACGATGACCGAGTGCGCGACTTTGCCGCCGTTGATGCCCAGGATGGCGTCGGCGATGTACTGTGCGACTTCGCCGCTTTCTTGGTCCAGGACCGTGACGGAGGAATAGTCTTTGATCAGGCGGCAGGAGTGGCCGATGTTGATGGCTGTCTCACGTTTGTCGCCTGTCAGCATCCACATCTTGATGCTCGCGCGGCGGAGCTTGTCGATGGACTCTGGGACGCCTTTTTGAAGTTTGTCTTCGATAGCGGTAGCGCCCGCGAGATCGAGATTCTGCTCGATGAGGTCGCCCGCGGATTCAATCATGTCTTGACGATTGATGAGACTCGTAGTTGCGTCGAGATAGACTTTTTTCCACGAAATGTATTCCTGCTCGTCAATGAACCGGTAGCCGTAAAGCAACGTTCTCAATCCTTCAGTCGCGAAGTCGTTAATATGTTGGAAGCAGCGCTCGATCGCTGCTGTCTCGTCCGCCACCAGAGACTCTTCGACAAACTCATCCATCTCTTCAATCTGCATCGAATTTCGGGGATCGGAACTGAAGGAGAGGGCGAGAGACTGTCGGCCGAGCTGAGCTGAAGGGCGTGGAGAATAGTACATGCTATTCTCCTCGACTGAGGAGATATCCACGTCTCGCTCGCGCTCAGTCAACCACTGATCTATCTCGTCACGAACCGGTTGTTGAACAGTGCCGACCATGCTCAAGCGATTCCCGCTGACGCTGCCGCGATTGAGTGTAGTGCTAGCCCGCCCGATGGTGAAGCTCGCTCGAGCCGCACCGCTGACGGTCATGCTTCTTCGACCACTAACACTGCTCTTGCGCTCAATTTGCTCACTTTTCCGTGCAATGGCGTACTGTGCTTCCAAGCTCTTTCTTTTGCTCGCGCGGCGCTCAATCTCGACGACCTTCTTATTTGCAAGGGTTGCAAGCTTGAGCCTCTGCATAACAATAGAGTCGGCGCCTTTGCAGAATATGCAAATTCGCTGATCTGGAAAACGAACAACGATAGACATTCGTTTTCGCTTGCTTGAAAACTCAATGACATCTAGGATATCATATGTCTCTAGCACTGGTTCCGCGTCATTGCCCAATGGCATTATCTTCAATGTGATTGTGCGAGAGTCGCGGTTGGTGACCAGGAACCCCATCTCTTGCGCAGCATGCACAAGAGCATGTTCATCTGGCGAGGATGCCATGAATTCGATCTCTCCATTCTCCCGCGTCTCTGGAAGGCACGTGTGGCAGAGTGCTAGAGAAAGAAGAAACAATCGGACCTTTTTGGCGAACAGGGTATACGGCTTGCGCTGGATATAACGAAGCATATCCTTTGTAAGAAGCTCGGGTTGAGCCTTTCCAGGTCGTGCTGTCGATTTCCAGTTTGACCCGTTCCTATGAAGCCCGCTGGCGCTAGCAGCTTCATTTGACGAGCGGCTGGTGTTGGCTGGGTCCACTACATGCTCTCGGAGTGCGAGTGACTCTTCAACGGCCTCAACATCACGGGATTTCCTAGCTGGCTTCTTGCCTTTGCCCTTGTTCTTCTTCTTCCTGGGTTCTAGAAGCTTCCTTTTGGCCGCGTCCTTCTGCAGATCTGCGTCATGAAGCCAAGCAGTGCCAGCCACACTCAACTTCCGGAACTTCATGGAGTTGTCTGTGAGTGTACCGGTCTTATCGGAAAAGATGTAACTGCAAAGGTTAGCAAAACGAGCTCCAAAATTGACGCTCTACTTGACTTACCTGATCTGGCCCAACTCCTCATTGATAGTCGAGGTTCGCGCTTCCAAGGGGGTATCAGACTCGGCATCGTACAGATCAATGTCGTTGAGAAAGAACATCTGCGCCAATTTGACAATTTCCAAACTCACGTATAAGGACAACGGGATCATGGTATTGAACATGATGATGAACGAGGTAAGGATGGGGAAGAACGCCACATCAGCATTCGTTAGATACCAGGACTTGTCTTCTGTCTTATTAGACCAGATGCGATACGCGACGGTGTTGAAGATCGCAAGTGCAATGACAAAAATGACGATGATGATGACGACCTTGTTTACGATGCTCTGGAGTGAAGGAGCTTTGATGCGAGGATTCTTGTTGGCGTTCATGCGAATGCGGCACTCCTCACCAGAGTAGATGACCATTCCGATGGCATTTGGAGTATTCCTGAGGATACTACCTCGGTATATGACCTCAGCGGTAGTGAGCGGTGCTGTTTCTCCGTTGACCCTGACTCGGCCTTCAAAATTGTATAGATCGAGATTGGGATCTTCGACCACGAACTCTGCGTTGCATATCGCAACATCATCCTGGGTAGTAAGGAATTTGCTCATAGAGGTCGCTGTTTGCTTGCTTTTGAGGTTAGTCTCTCCGTCGAGAGCCATAGTCTCCACATATGCAATGCCATTTTCTCCCTCTGAATGCAAGATAACAAGGTCGGCTGGGGCAGTGTCGTCTCGATCCAGCTTTACAACATCACCGACCTGGAGGTTATGCCATTTCGTCGTCGCCCAGTGTAGAGGTCCAATGGTGCCTAAAGGAGAAGTTGGAATGCTTTCTTCGTCCGTAGATCCGGTGTTCTTGTACACATGCAGGACTTTAGCTTCGCGATTGTTCTCAGCCTTATCAAGCTTGTGTCTCCTGAAATCATCATATCCTTCCTTGCCCATCGATATGCACACGAAGAAAATCAACGGCACAATCGTCGTGTAAGTACCCGTGGTGCTGAGACCAGGTATCATCTGCAGGATAGAAACACACAGGAAGTAGAAATTTGCAAGTTTGGAGAACTGCGCAACCAATTGCCGGGGTAGAAAGTTCCAGGCCGAATAGCGGGTTGAGCGGATATAATTACTGATGTAAGGCTTATTGGTTCTCTCGTCGATCAGAGGTTCTTTTCGCGAACAGTCGAGATCAATGTGTCTGCCGTCCTTGCTAGGAGGTATCTCCTGGATCCGTAGAACAAACTTTTTCGTTTTGGTTGTAAAGTCACGAACTTTTCGAGAGATTGCGCTCCTCCTGCTTTTCTTTTCCACCCAGCTTTCCCAATTCGGCAGTGCAGAGGTCCCCTTGGAGCCCTTGGGTTTGGTCCTATCAGGTAGTTCTCCATAATCCATGGCCACTGGTGTAACGAGGACTGTCGACTCCCGTTTTTTGTTTGGCGAACTGCGATCGTGGGCGCCATCCGGCTGAACCGGCGATACTTGACTCGACGATCCAGCCGTATCTGTCATCTCTATAAGGGATCCAGGTGAAGTGGCGTGGTCCTCAATTGTTCTACGGAACAGCGCCTGACGTAGCGAATAACCTCGATAACGTGCCGCAGGTGACATGGGCGATTTCTGCGAGGCAGCAATCGGTGACACCGGTGAGGTGATGGCTGTGGGTGAACGAACCATTCCATGGCCCAGTATCGGGGCATCTCCTGCCGCAGCGCCACCTTGGGTGTCAACTCTCAATTCCGGCGCCCCAGACTTCATCTTCGGCAGCGAACCCCTCCGCCCATCGCCACCAATGTCCATTACAGCACCGATTGAGTTCCTATTCGATTGGGACGGGAGCTGCCTCTCAACGTCTGTTGAGAACCGGACGCGCGGCCCCGCATCCATGGAAGGCCTGGGTATGGATGTCCTCGCGTCATTATCCACCGCGGAAGAAGTCGAGGCCACGACCGCGTCTAGATCCGTGGCTGCTCGTCGGGGAGGCTCTACGTGGTAGGTGGTGGGCGAGACTGGCGCCACTGTTTGCGCGGCTGCGAGCAGGTCCTCGTCGTCCTCATGATGGGACGATTGGCGCCGCCGGAGGCCATCGCGATTGTATTCCGGGGGTTCGTCACCTCCTGTCATTGTCGCATCGCATGCCGATGTAAGGAAAGCTTGCCCTGTGAGGATGTTCTGTTAATCTCTCGTCCAAAGCAAAGTCTTCGCGTCAAGGCGGGATCTTTTGCATACTCAACGAATTGTGTGGTTTAGGAAGCGGCTAGAATGGAGACATGGAGAGCCGGTAGTGGTACGATAGGATTCCAGCCCCGTGGCTGAGGATAGAGGGAAGTAATAAAGGCGATTCGACTCGAGCTGCGTCTTCTTCTCCAAGCCACGAAGTGGTCCTCCGACCCCTGCATATACACTATTTTAAGCACCTGACATAGCCGCCTCTCCCCACCAAAGCTTGGATAGATAGCCGACATTACCGAGATACGGAATGATAATTTCTAGTGTCTAAGAAGTAGCAAATAGGCATATCAACCATCAAAGGTCCCTCTGATTCACACTCATGCAACACTGAAAACCTGTCTACCAATTCGGCAATCCATTGAAGCACCCCGGCAGTAGCGAACCACGGTACACGTGACAGGAGACCGGCCTCAACAAAATCTCATCACGCAGATCATCTCACAGAACCCAGCTGATCAAAAATTAAGCATAGTCATTCTCCAGCCCTAGGTACGCATCCTATATAGCTGGTTTTCCGCCAACGAGGTCAAGTCCCCATCCAATGATCGCCAATCCCCGAGTTAACCATCGCGAACGGGATACACAAAGAAATCATCGTCCACGGGCATTTTCCCCATTGTGTATTTGCATTGACCCAGCGCACCGGGATGACCGTCCCATTAAGCCTGCTCCAACACAGGGAGGGCATGAGAGCAAACAAAGAGAAGAGACGGGGGTTCCACCGAGCCACCAACCACGCACCTCACATGCAATGAGCAAGGGAAGAAGGACGATGACGACTGATGCTCCCGGATATGAAGAAGGGGGAAGAATAACGCCTTTGCACCACGACCAAAGCACTAAGAAACAAAAAGCACAGAGCGGTTTCTCAATTCGCAATGCGGAGACGCTAAAGAGCAACTTTCAGAGCACCCTCCCAAACATGCGGAAGAGGGGGAAAGGATAAAAATGGACAATTGCCCTGAGTAACAATGTGGTATGGGTATGTGAGGAAAGCGGGGTTATATCCCCCAGAGCGTATCGTGCTCCAACTCCAAGATAGATTTCGCCAATCCTTTCGCGTATAGGAGGTATTCGTCGTCGTTGCGGTTCATAAAATCTGAGTATCGGAAAATTTGCTTCGCGCCGTGCAGTATGCCGCGTAAATAAAAGTGTTCTTCGTGGGGATGTGCTGAGATGCCGGAAAAAGGATACCGCTCACTGTTGAGCTGCTACACACCAATGCCTATGGAAAACCCAAGCGCTCTTTTGACACTCTTTGCTGCAATATTTTGTGCGTCGGCATCTACGACACTTGGCAAATTGTCGCGTGAATTCTTCCCATCGACCGCACTGGTAGTATGCACATTGTCGGATTCCACCGCGAGAGTCGTCTTTCCGGCATAAGTTCCTCATTACAACACCAGCCCAGTATTGCATATCCTGGGAGTGGTGTCGGACCGTGAACTTCTCGACCAGAGGAAAAATGTTGAAGTCATCCGGGAGAAGGTATTCCTCATCCTCATCTTCTTCTGACACCGCTGGAGCAGCACACGTTTCACCATCGAGAAGTTGTAAATCAGACCCAATCTTTAGTTTTGGCACGAGGTGAGACTTTTGGAAGTACGAGCGAAGGTAGCAATACTTGGAGATGTACGCCAAGAGCTGGAGGGACATCAGAACGTCCTCATCTCTAGGCATGGCCGCAAGCACTCCGGCCGTTGCATTGCGATCTTGAGCATAGCGTGGATACCACGGAGCTGCTGGGGGGTTCGCATTGGCAACATTAATGGTTGGCTGCACGGGAGAGAAGCTAATAGCACCTGTCGGTTGAGTGTTTGCGGGGTTGATGATGCTGCCATCTAGAGCGGAGCGGTGAGTGATGTTGAAAGTGTCTGCGTCGGGCCCCTCCGAAGGGGGTGCAGCAAGTCCAACTGGGGTAGCCCCTGCGTCCAGCATCTCCTCGTTGTCCACAATGTCCTGCATATTGATCTCGTTTTGGATACCAACGATAGGCTCGCTCGCCGGGCCAGCGGTAGCAGATGCGTCTGCCATCATGTCATCGTTCTGACCATCGTCGGACTCGCCAGACATCGACAGCTGATGGCGAATCGATGGCCGTCTCCGAGATCTGCCAGCTCCCAAAGCCCGGGGGCTGGTGGGCCTGGCCGCACTTGGAGTTGTGGGGGACTCTGGCTGTGAAGTGATCTCTCCTTGAAGTGCCGGGAGCATAGAAGGGAGACGGTCAACGTCCCGAACAGGCCTGATCCCGAACGTCTCTCCAGTTTCCATATTCGGCAAAGCACTGACCAATGGCTGACCAATGTTGCGAGTCTGCCCACCGATGGTGCCAAAGAGCTGTGCCCTGCCTTCCTGACTTCGGTGATTGTGGAGGGTATTGGGCCGTGTGAAAGTGGTTCGTTCAGGAGGAGAGCTCATGGCAAAAGCAGGAGTGGGGGTAACGTCTCCTGGCTGTGACTCGAGCGGAGGTTGCGTGAAGGTCTGCGGAATCTCGATGGGAGGAGGTGCATGGCGTCGAGTCCGTTCTGAGCGGTGGCCAGAAGACGAGCCAACGTGGTCGGAGCGGGAGAAGTGATGTCTCGACGAAGTGCCAAGTCTCGCAGAATTCCTCTTCAACTCGGCCTCTGCCTTTTCCCGGCACTTGTCGATGACTTTGACGTAGTTGTCGAGTATCGTGGCGATGACAGGGACCATGTCGGCCTCTACCACTCGTGTCCTGACGTTCTCCGTGCCACGAACACCAATGTTAAAAACGCATTGAAATGCAAGATTCCACTTCCACATATCCATCATATCTTTACTCCGCCCCTCTTTGAGAATGCATACCAGTCGTTCGACGCCGCCATCGACGGTGAGGATATCCCGAATGCGGGCAGACGATGTGGTGAGGTATGCGAGATGGTTGAGCGAGTTGATGAGGGGGAGGGTGGAGGTGCAGTCGAGCGCGCGGCGGTCGTAGAGGGCGGTGGTGATGCCGACCGAAGCCTTATTGGCGTTCGGGATGCTGAAATTGACCTCTCTCATGTTTGCGTCGGTTTGCAGCAACGGTTTGATGGCCGGTCGAGGGGTGGAGGTGTGACTGTTCAGACTAGGGTCGCGGACGGTTAGTGGAAGCCGACGAGATGGCGTGATGGCATGTACCCAGAGACGGCAGTGGGCGCAGAGACACGATCCAGGAGCTGTTTCAGCGGCCGGCGGCCAGAGAGGTCCGTGTCGAGGTGTCGAGGACGGCGGGAGGCAGAACAGCAAACTTTTGACGGCCAAGGGGTTTGCTGGGCAGCCAGGGCGATGCAGACGACACTCGGCGGCCACACAGCAGCGTGCGGGTGTCGGACAGCGGCGTGGAGGGATTTATACGGGCTGATTATGGGATCTGGATGGCGATGGTCTCCTTAGGGGCGCTCGGGTCGGGCAAGTGCGCGTGTGGCGAGAGCGCTCAGGTGAAGGCCGACGGGGCGTGGGTGGAGGCTCAGCGCGGCGGGGAGAGGCAGAGGGCGAGGCTTTGGCGGCGGCGGAGGGGGTATATCTGCTGGCTGATGGATAGAGGGTCGCAGCTGGACGGTGATGGGAGACGAGACGGTGCGTGAGGTGTTGGCGTTGGCTGCTGGAGGGTGGAGATGGGCAGGCTGGGCGGCAGGGCGGTGATTGGGCGGCGAGGGGGTGAAATTCCATGCGTTATGAATAGCCACCAACACCGCACAGGCGCTTAATGCAGGCGGGACGGCCAATACAGACGCCGCAGGCAGGGACAAATAGGGAGAATGCAGCGGCAGTGAATGCAGAGGACAGGAGGGGAGCGAGGCTTTGTGCTGCTCGCACGCAGCGTCCCAGCGTGCCAGTCTCCTCAGCGGGCGGGGAGGCGGCGTGCACGCCTTGGTCAGCAACAAAATGCCCCAAGTCCACGGGCCTGACGGGCTCCTTGCCCTCGTGCTCTGAAACGGTGCTGGTGCCGAGCCAGACGATAGCTCGCTTGCGCCTGGACGTGCAGCGCGCGAGCTGGAGGCCTGCACACCTGCAGTCCAGAAGAGCAGTGACGCACCGCGGTCGACCAGATGAAAACTCTGTGCATCGTGATCTCGCGGCGATGCCATTGAGCTGCCGAGAAACACGTCCACTCCCGCCCATGCCCCGTCCCGCTGGCTGAGTCTCGGCACGTCGGCTGCGTCCTGCGCTGGAGGCTACAGATACCTCCTCCAACCTGGGCACATCCAGTCCTCATTTCGGCCACCTGCAACGCTATAGGGGACGTAAGCGTAAGTGCACTCTGTCGCGTCTGGTGGAACCGCAGACGGGAATCCCAGCAGGCTGGACCGTGGGCTGACCTCGAGCAGGCCTCCTAACTGCCTGCACATCAAATCGTCGTACTACCCACGAGTCTCCCACCATTCGCCAAGCCCCACGATCCTCTACAATGTCGGACACCACACACGTCCGGGACTTCCAGGCCCGCCCGCGAGGCCCGACCATCTCCATCCCCGAGCCCGATGGGGAGACGCATCGCGGCCGCCGGCACAGTGCTGTCTCAGGCGCGTCGGCCAACCTGTCGGCCACCGGCCACCACAGCCCTCGATTCTCGGTCGACTCGCCCATGAAGCGGCGCATGACGCGCTCCAACACGGTGCGAAACTACCACTCGCCGACACGGCCAACATGGGACGAGCCCGGTGCCGAGCCCGGTGTAGACACCGCCCAGGAAGCCCAGCCGCATTTCGAGCTGCTCCAGCAGCACTGCGACATCACAATTGTAGACTTCTCCGACGAAAAGATCACACAGAGCCGCCTGGACAATGACGATTTGGCCGTCTTCCTGGACATGCCCAAGGGAGACTGGGCGCAATGCCGGTGGATCAATGTCAATGGTCTCAGCTGGGACGTCATCAGAATGCTGGGAAATAACAAAAATTTACATCGGCTAGCCATTGAAGACTTGATGAATACTAGGGGCCGCACAAAGGCCGACTGGTACTCTGACCAGGCTTTCAGTAAGTTAAATCTATTCACGCACAACTTGATCTCTCTTGAGCTGTCACGTGCTGTTGATTCTTTCAACTGTGCCCATCATGGGCTTCACAATCGGACAGTTCATCCAGCTCGTATCTGCTTGCACTGGAATTCAGTCCCCAGCTCCCCTATCCTGCGGACCATTCCAATTGATATTGCACTTATTCAACCAGCTACTATGTACAATGCTACAAATGTATCATTATTTTACCCCGTTCGCATCTTACGTCTATCTTGCTTTATTCAGTCAACAAGAATGGATCATACTAACCGAACAAGTGTTGTTGACCCTACAGAAGCTCGTCAAGCTCGCAGACGACGACTCCGACAGCGACTCGGACAATGAAGACTTCGGTCCCGTCAGAAAACCAAAGCACAAGAAGACCAAAAAGACAAAGTCGTTCTACAAGCGATTTCGAGATTTCTTGAGTCAGACTCCTACCAATGCCGACATGGAGCACACCTGGCAGACAGAAGACAAGAGCGTCACGCTTGATGGAACCGTCACTGCTCGGAGCCTCCAGTCGAGCGCTCAGCGCAAGGAACAGATCCGGACCTTACAGCGTTACCGCGGCGGACCAAACATCGAGAGGACCATCTACATGGAGCGTAACTCGACCTTAGCTAAAAAGAAATTGGCGGTCAGCGTTGAGCAGGTGTCCATGTTCCTCACTTCGGACAATACCGTCATTTCGTTCTTCGAACATTCTGCTGGGGATATTGAAACGCCTATATTGAAACGTTTGATGTCCTCAGATACTATCATCAGACAGAGCTGCGACGGCAGCATGCTCGTCCAAGCCATCATAGATGCGATCATTGATTTGGCAATACCTGTCGTCGCAGCCTACGAAGATGCCATGAGCGAGCTGGAGCTGGAGGTCCTTACCGACCCCGACATCGGCCACTCGAGGTCTTTATGTACGCCCCTTTTCTCCTAATTTATTGATACATACCTACCGCAAAACACTAACGCCCCTCAGACATCCTCACCTCGGAACTCTCCATCCTCCGCAGCTCCATCCAACCCATCAGCTCCCTCATCAACTCCCTGCGTGACCACAAATCCGACCCCATCTCCACGCCCGGCCTCTCCGGCCTCTCCGGCCGCCCGGGCCTCGCCGGCCGCCCCTCGCGCATCCAAATCTCCAGCATCACCATCTCGCCCCTCGCGCACACCTACCTCGGCGACGTCGAAGACCACTGCATCACCATCACCGCCTCGCTCGACCAGATGCGGCGCGCGGCGGACAACATGATCGACCTCATCTTCAACATGGTCGGATCCTTCCAGAACGAGAGCATGAAGCAGCTCACCGTCGTCACCATCTTCTTCCTGCCTCTGACCTTCCTCGTCGGCTACTTCGGCCAGAACTTCGCGACGTTTCCGGGCGTGAAGCAGCACTCTGATAAGTTCTTCTGGACGATTGCGATCCCGGTTATGGCGGCGACGATTATCTTGCTGATGCGGGACGCGATTTGGAGGGGCGCGCAGAGAGTGGTGCAGAAGCGGGCGATTAGGAAGAGTAAGAAGAGGAGAGAGGGGCGGAGGGGGATTAAGCGGGGGAGGGCGCTGGTGGAGCGGAGTTACACGGTCTGACGTGATACGGGGAGGGGGTTGGAGGCGGAGGGGAGCCCGGTGGGGAGGCTGGAGCGGTGGATGGGGGTATGGGGGTGGCGGTGAGGAAGCCGCGCTGCGATGTCGCCGCGCACGGACAACGGGGCCTTCGCTGGGGCTTGTAATAGACATTCGGAGACCCCTTGGCTGGTTTCTCGCATGCCGGAGATCTTGGTGGGCTCGTCGGTCTGGGGCTTCTTTGGGAGTGAACTGGACGAGAGGTGTTGGGACCTTCAGTGGGGAAATAGAGGAGATGTAGGCTGTATAAAGCGAGATTGGATACTGAGGTTGGTTAGATGGGTTCGGTTCTCTGGATACCCCGACTTTTGCCCAAGAGGCGCGCACATGTAGAGAGTTGTTTAATACGCCCGCTTCAACTTCTCTGGGCAAACGATCTACAAAACACACATAACTACTCGGGTCTTTCAGATCAAATATAAAACTCAATCCCAAAAAGCCGTGTCTATGATCTATCTCGTCCTATCGCTAAACCAAATCCATAATCATCACCCCTCCCCTTCTCAACCCCCTATCCAACCCACAACCCCCCTGTAACACACACCTACCACAGCCCAACCAACCCCTCCACCTCCTTAACCAACTCCCCGGCCTCCCTCCTCCCGCTCCCCACCTTCACACCCCCCACCGTCCCCCGCGCGCCCAACACCTCGCACAAATCCCGCACCTCCCCCTCGCGCGGCGCCCCAAACACGATCCACCCGACACACACCACGCCCCTCCACCGCACCTCGTCGTTCTCCTCCACCGCCGCGCCGCGCCCCAGCATCTCCAGCAGCGACGCCAGCAGCTCCACCTGCTCGCTCTCGGGCAGCTCCCCCTTCCCCAGCTCCTCCTCCGCCGCCGCCGAGGCGCCCGAAGACAGCGCCGCCTTGCGGACCTTGTGGTTTGCGCCCGCGAGATTCATCGCCAGCGCGACGGCCGACGCGCGCAGCGCGGCGTGCGCCTCGTCCAGCAGCGCCGTCGTGAGCAGGTTCACGAGGAGCGAGGATAAAGGGGCCGCGAGGAGGTGGGGGATGAACAGCGGGGAGGCGAAGAGGTTGCAGGCGAGGTGGAGGGTCGTCAGGCGGAGATTGTAGGGCGCGGCGGGGCCGAGGGCGGTGACGTGGGCGAGGAGGTGCGTGATTGTGGTGGTGGAGCCGGTGGTGCTGGAGGCGGTGTGTTCTTCGGCGAACCAGCCGGCGACGCGGGGGTCTGGGAGGGTTGTGCGGAGGAGGTCGAGGGCTGTGAAGAGGAGCTCTGGGGGGAGGGTGGTGGGGGCGGAGCGGAGGAAGGCGGCGAAGGCGGGCAGGGAGGGGAGCGGGGAGTCGATGGCGCCGGCGGCGGAGAGGGATTTGATGAAGGATACGATGGAGGTGACGGCGGGATCGTGGCCGGCGGGGCCCATTTTGGCGGTGAGTTTGTCGAGGGGCGGGGCTTTGGGGTAGGTGATTGGGCGGAGGGATGTGTGGAGCAGGGTAGGCACGTTCTGGAGAAGGTGCGGGTGGGGTGGGAATGCTTGGTCGAGGAGCATTTTGGCGGTGTCCCAGAGGCGGCGGGAGTCGGCGCCGCTCCATTCGTCTTGCTTTTGGCCGCGGAGGAAGGTCATGAATGTGGGCGTTGCGCGGACGCCGTATTTGGCGGAGACGTCGTAGGCGTTGTTGATGTCGACTTTGATGATGACGCCTTTGCTGCCGGCTTCGGCGGCGATTTCGTCGTATGTTGGGTATACGATCTTGCAAGGTGCGCAGGTGGAGCTTGTGAAGAAGATTATGGCGCATGATTCTATGGCAGAACCTAGGAGTCGTTCAACTTCTTGGAGAGAAGTCACGTTATGGACTTTGCCTGCTGCGCCATTCGATGCTTTATGGGACACCCCGTTTGGTGTGTGCCGTGATAAAGCTGGCTGTGGGGGGACGTTTTGTTGCGGTACAGGGGCTTGAGTGACGGATCTCATGGCGCTATCTAGTTGTGGTTTGAGCATTTGTCCGAATGGAGTGTTCAGGACAGTCTGTGGGAGGGACGTGATATGGTCTGGTATGCCTCTGCCGACTAAAAACATGGCGAAGTCGTTGGAACTGGGAAGGCGTTAATTCTTATCCTTCGAGGCCCACCATTTGGTAAAATTACAAGTTGTTGCAATTATGCAGGAATAGGTCGTAGGACTACCCATTATCAGCTTTGGTTCCCGCTGCTAAAAAGTGTAGACCGACTTCGGGTGTGTATATTTCCTTCAGCGAGTCCATGTACTCGAGAATAATCTCCATAGGTAGCGCCGTCTCTCCCATGGGTATGATCTCCATCGGTGCTCCATGATGTGTCGTTCCGGGGTAGCATGTCTGTATGCCCTGGCCAAAGAAGTACTCAACGCCACCGAAGACGAGTGCAGTGTGATAGACGGCGTCTGGGGCCTATTAGAGGTAGGTTTGATAGGTGGTAGATGAAGGCGCGGTACCTATCTGGGTTCCGAGAAACTGGCGGGACAGCTATTCGGCCAGTTTAGCTGGGCGCATTCGAAATCCGGAGGAGTACCATACCTGTCGTGCCAGGCCCTGGGAAAATGTTAACCAAGTTCTAGGTAGTGGAATGCGCGACAGTACCTGTGAGAGATCGTACACGTAGAGCTGGACGTCCATGTTTGCAGTTCAGATTGTGAATGTTATCGCAGCATGCCGCAGGAGGAGGGTTCAGGCTCTTTAAAGGTGTGAATAGCTTCAGGCATCGGAGTGACGCGTGCGAAGCTCACCGCAAGGCTGAGCTTATCTAATCTAAACCCCTCTAACGTAATCCACAAGTTAGTGGCCCGCACAAGCTAGTGGCCCACCCAACCACGCTACCGAGGCCAAATATTCCGAATTACTCCACCACGAACAAATATATTTGATGCAGCTACATACTAGCTAGCTGCCTGCCGCCTAGGGCACGTACGTGCATTGTGTTCTGTTGATTCGCACATGCTGCACCTAGGTTTTGCTCGCTGTGGCCGCTCGGCCGGTGGCTCTGCTGCCTCCTCTGCTGCCCCTTCCTGTACAGGTTGTGCACGATCGGCTGCTTCTTCACCTGATAGAATACCCTTTCTAGCTATATACGTGCGCTTCCTTGCCTTCTTTTGTTTCTGGCGCTGATTCTCTATGCGCAGCTTCTTATTTTCGCTTGCAAGCAGCACGGCGTTTGACATTGCTGTTTCGCACGCCTTGATAATTTGGCCAAGGGCCTGTTCTGCTGGACTTTGTGGGCTATGCATACGCCGCTGGCGATAGCGCTTTAGCAGGGCTGTCTGCTTTTGTAGCTCGGCGA